AAGTGACGACCGCATACAACTATTCAAAACATAAATACCCAAATACTTGAAGGGATCCTCGCTCTGGAGGAGCTCCTTGATGATTATAAGGCCTGGCTCTTATACAACCTCCCCGTTCTTGGCGATCACATGCTTGCCTCTCCGGCCTACTCGCTGGATCCGAGGGATCAGAGCCACAAAGGAAGTCAGGACATCGAAGGAACCCAAATTTTCATCGAAGTTCTTCCTCGTTCACTGGAACGGGAACTTGTAAACCAGTTTGACCACATGGTCTCCCAGCTCGTTCAAATGGGGGGCACCATCCTCGTTACACACCGATACGTTCTTGAAAACATTCAACATTGCCTTGCTCAAGGAAGGCTGCACCAATATATACTTATCCTTGAAGTGACAAACAGGCTCCGGGTAAGCTTTGAACAACTTCCCGTTGCCTTGCTTCAAAGTGACCCATCCCTATTTGTCATTGATCCTGCTCCTCTGGAGATGGAAGCAATAGAAGAAAAAGGGAATGGTAGCCCATATCTTCAGGTAGTCACAAACAATCTCGAACGCTCGCATGAATGTAATGCCGTTCGGGTGTAGTTGGAAAGGAGCCAGCCGAAGATGCCTGAATACGGCCACCTCAAAATCTGAGAAAGGAAGCCGAAGACCCATCTCCTGGAACATGATGTCGTACACGGGAATCCGTCCATTGTCGTATTTAGAGCATATCATGCTCTCTTTTCTAGGAATATACAGTGACCACTCTCCCTGGTTTCTATCCTCATGTGCGTACACCTCGGTAAAGACGTCATTCCGATGCTCGAAAAAGTAGGAAGGTCGGTCCCAAGGATCATTCGTGACCCAAGCCCGCAGATCCTCATCATCCCCAGGGGAAACATGCCACGTTGATCAGCAGAGGCCATCTCTACATCACCTCCCCCCACGTGTTGTCCGGGCTGATCCAACTCATCCCCGAAAATCTCCAAAATGCTCGACGAGCTACTCGCCTCGTCCGAAGAACTTCATGAAGATCCCGAAAATTCACTCAAGAGGTCAATCCAGGCGTTGTCGACCACAATACCTGAAAAGCAGAGGATGAAGATGAGTTCGACATCAATGCCAAAACCATCCTTCCACCACTAATCCAGTGAAAGGGTGCTGATAAACGAGGATCATGTCCTCGACCAGAACCCTCACTAAGGCGCATAAACAGACAGAAGTCCGGGGGAGATCCCTAGGCCCTAAAAGACCATCTACGACACGATGAGAAATGTCTGGGGAGGATCTACGGCGGCTCCCACGATTCTACACTATAGAACCACCGTTTTCCATCAACACTCCCTAGGAACCCCCTAACAGACATAATTCTAAACCCTAACCGCATGCATTTCTAAGAAGAAAATCATGAAAATATGAACTACAAAAGCCAAATAACAATGAAAAATTAAAATATTACTGGTTAAAGAAGAAGGAAGGCTGAAAAGAGCGACAACGAGCCGTGAACCTCAAGAAACGATGGTGGTCGACAGGCGAGCAAAAACGAACAGTATAGAGAAAGAATGAGAAACACAGAACTCCCTACTCCTCTCGTATTTATAGCTGAAACCATCCGCACGTGCGAGACACATGCCTTGGAAACCCTAGAATCGCCATCATTGCACCCTAGCCCCTAGGCCATCATTGCGCTGCTTCGTCAGCATGCTACCCGAAACACGCTACCTCTTCAAGTTCAAAGCTCAGAACGACTAACTCTTCATCTCCCCATAAGAAAAACGCAACGGGCGATGCTCGCGAAACTCATATGACGCTCCCCGTCCCACGAGAAAGTGTTAAAGTCATCACTCATATGCCTAGAAGCAACGACTTGGGGGGCCACTATTCTGGACTGGCCAGACAACCAGAGTGGGCCCAGTCTAACCCCTTTTTTCGGTACAGCCCAGACGACCATGGCCCGAATCTCCCCCGCTCTCCGTCGGGCAACATCGATCCACTGTCCTTCTGGACCGGCACTGACCTACGATGATTAAAGAGAACCTCTCAGTCTACGCGACATCAAGTAGCACAGACGACCAGAAACCGACCAGATCGCAGCCCGTAACCTACCTCCTCCTTGGATCTAATGGCTAGTTACAGACACACTTTCTCGGTATGACCGAGTCCTGACAGTTACCTATTTTTGTGGATCCGCATATCCAGGCCCCAAAACAGGAACCAATGACTACACGCTAGGGGCATTATATAAACCCTCACACATGTGAGGAATAGGTATCGAATACTTTGCTTGTATCTCTTTGCTCCCACACTTACTTGATCGTCGGAGTACTTTGCAGGTAAAACCCCTTTTTTTCCTCCTCGACACCATAACCCGACTGAAGATCATCATCTGACCACCTTGCAGGTTCTAATCAACCGGTAAGATCATATAATCTTATATGATAATGAGAAGAAAACATAAAAACTATTTGATTAAAATAAAATGTTGAAATTTAATATCTCACTTAAATAACTCAAGTTTGTGACTTGTAGTTGAGAAAAATAGAATCATGTGAGTAATTTAAGTATGATACTAAATCTCAACTCTTTATTTTAATCAAACAATTATTTTCTTTTCCTCTTACTCTCATATAAGATTACATTTTTTCACTAGACACATAATATATATATATATATATATATATATATATATATATATATATATATATATATATATATATATATATATATATATATATATATATATATATATATATATATATATATATATATATATATTGATATTACACATACACTAAATCTCAACTGTTAATAGAACTTGATCAAACAATCTTTTATTTTTTAGGAAAAAGAATACGATATAATTTTTTATTTCATTTAATATGATCGTTTGATAAATTCTATTAACACTTGACATTTTAGACTTATATTTGGTATCAACATATCCTAATTTTTAAAGGTAATGCATGTCAACGTAAATTAGTTTTACACCATCATTTAGTAGAATTATAATATTATGTCATATAATATTAATATTTTAAAATTAAAAGTGTGAGTTGATTGGATAGACAACCCTAATTATTAACCATAGGAATTACATCAATTTTTAGATGCAATTAACGTAGCATTATGTATGCTATCTCCATGGGTGTGACTAATGATATCTACCAGTAAATTGATTACATAAAATTTTCTTTAGTTTGTTAAAATTTGTGAGTTAATTTAAATTAAATTCAAAATTAAAATTAAAGTAATTAGAAAATAAATATGAAACATGGGTGTAATATAGTCCACAAATCTCAATTCAACTTGCCGAAACCGATATTGTTAGGTTGGATGTAGTGGTGAGAATAAGTTGAACCGAGTTAGATTTTGTCAAGATTAAATTTGAATCACTAAAAATTTCAAACTCAAGCCTAACCTATAGTCTATATAAGTTTATTTTTAGACTTGAATCCGACATTTTCAAATGTTTGATTGATATGTTAGCAAACTTTAAAGTCTATTTTATTTAAATATTTATAAATAATCTATTAAGTTATTCTTTATATAAATTAAAAAACTAAAAAATCGGTGATATTAACAATTTATTTATAATAACTTATTTGAAATTACTTAATAGTGTAGCGGTGAAAATCAGAGATCAAGTTATTAATTAACTTGACTCGCAAAAGCAAGAATCGCCACCACGCTTTATTATTTCCAAGGGAAAAGTACGAAATAAAACCCTAAAATATGCAATGTAAAATAATACTTGAAAGTAATGAAAGTACAATGCATTTTTTGAAAGAGATCGAGAGTTCAGGGGTTGATTATACAAAGGGAAGGTACTAGCACCCAATGCATCTGCGGTACTCCGCAGGAACCTTTTGAAATATTTGTTTTTCGATTGAAATTATTTGTTTGATTAAAATGGTTTGTTTGACTAAAATGAATGGGTATGAATGAGATTTTGGAGATACGACGACCTAGTGTCGAAGATTTGACTTAAAAGGTGTGAGTTTGAAAATGGAGTCTTTTGGGAAAATTATCTTAAGTTTAGCAAAATAGTAAACAAAAAAAAAATGAATGAGGGTATTCGCACGATTGGATGAGATGTATTTGATGACGTGAAGTCAACAAATTTAATTCCTTCCCTTGGAGTTTAGACGGGCGAAAGATACGAAGATTAATTGATTGAGAATAAAATTAATTAGAATGACAATTAAATAATTAAATAACAAAAATTAAATAGAAGAATAATTTACAGTAACATGTATTTTTAAATAATTAAATAAGTAACAAAAATTAAATAAAAAATTAATTTATAAAAGCATGTATTTTTTATATTTTATTGTTCGATATTTTTTTAAGCAAGAATTAAACAACCTGATAACTAAAATAATTTAGTTAGATTAACTAAAAACCAAATAAAAATGAATAAGCTGTAAAATCTAATCTAACTAAACTATGGAGTGCTAATTGACATGAAGAGGTGTCAAGTTAGAATACTAAGTTCAAGAGACCCTAAATCAAATAAACCTTAATCTAATTTACACATGAAACAAACTGAATTATTAAAATAAAAATATATATAAATTAGAAGAAACAAGGTTAAAGGGGCGCTGCAACATGAATAGTTTCTTTTCAATAAATTTGTTATGTTTGACTCTTCCAAGTTCCAACTTCTAATAATAAGCATATATCGTGTGGTATAACTTTATTAAATAACAGTAGAAACCAATAATAATTTAACGAAAGAAAAAAAAGAGTAGAAACTAACAATAGATCTCCAATTCTCTCTCATAAGTCTCTTGTTTCTCAAAGTTCAGAATAACATGCCACTCTTCTTTTCAATACTCTTTCTCTCTCTTTCTTTCTCAATCCACCCTCTACTTTCAGAATCAAACATCAAAATTTAGAGAATAACAAAATAATGTTTACCTACGGCGGAAAGTTTGGTGGGGCACACGGAGGCTAGAGCACCACAGTGATTGTGTTGGCATGCAAATGGAGAGAAGAGCTGCTTCGACGCGGCGGTTAGGATGCAAGGACGGTTGGTCGGAGATCACGGTGATTGGAAGCTTTGTACGGTGATGTTCGGTACGGCGGCTGTGAAGGATGGTTATTTCACCGGGGTTTTCGACAGTTGTTGATGGGTTTGAATGAAGGGAGTTGTCTATATTTCACAACGTCAGATCCAGAGCAGAAAGACTGTGTGGTATGAAGGTTATGGTTTTGTTGTTGTTTGTTCCGAATCGATCTTCTACAGGTACTTTGAAGGGTATTTTGTTTAATGGCACATAGACTTTGGATTGAGATGGAAGAAGGCTGAAACAAATTTTTTTGTTAGTGATTTTCTGTGCTTATTGAACAAAGATTTCAAGGTTTTTTTATGTATTTCTCTTATGCGATGTCTCCTCTTGCCTCCTTCTTTTCTGTGTTGATGGGAGCTTAAATTTATAGGGGAATACTGATGGAAATTGGGGGGAAAATTGGATAGGTTTCAACAGATACGGCTAACTATTTTATGCCTTTCTTGTGCAGGTTTTTGTATATGACCTTTTGGGCAAGTTTGGGACAACAAAGATATGGACAATACAACATGCTGTATGCGGGTTTTTGGACTGACCTATTTGGACTAATATGCAGGGTTGTTTCTGGTTTGGGGCAGCAGTATGGTGGAGTTAGTTTATGCAGAGCTTTGACTTGTTTATGGATAGTATGCAGAGGAAAACAGAGCAGCAACTGCAGGTTAATGGGATGTAATTTTCCTCTTGTACTTTCTGGTTTCATTACATGTATTTTCTCTCTCTTTTCCTTTTGAGATTGGACTGATTTTGTATTCATGTGGCTTATTGGACAACTTTGAGCATGGCAGTAATAACAGGTGTTTTGGACTGGTGTGAACTGTTATGACAGGCTTAGCAGTTTTTTTAGAGTGTAGCATTTGGATTGGTATAGCAGGGTTTTATGGGCAACAAGATAGCAGGTTTTTGTTAGCATAACAGACTGTTTTGATAGTAGTATAGCAGTAACATATGCTGATTTTGGCTAGGCATGGTAGGCTTTGTACTGAACTGATTTTAGACTGTTTTTTGTTTTGAACATAAGGCTGCCATGAACTGGTTTTAAATGATGAAATAATGAAGCAAGGCAAGGCATGGCAACTTGAAGGCTGAGCATGAAGATTGAACTTGATATTTAGGCTTGAAGATTAGGATTTTTGACAAATTTCATGTAATCTCTTTATATTTCAAAATGTAATAACATGATAATTTGTAACCACTTCATCTTGCAATGAGCTTTGAATCTTGCATTGAACTCTTTGAATGGATATTGCAAAACATGAGTAGGATTATTCAAAGCTTGGACTCAAAATTTATGTGACTTTTGAAACTTGAATGAAAATATAACTTGAGCAAATTCTCTTAATGAACTCATGACATATTCTTGTGATAAGAATTTGGTTCAAAATACAAGAACAAAGTTGAATGGTTTGTAAGGTTTTTGTCATACGATTTGAATTCTCATGATGTACTTGAAATTTGTGACATAAGAAATTAGGAATTCCTCTTGTAACACAAAAATGATGGTGATGTATCTTGGAACTTAAATCCAAACAAGTCTTGAATAATCCTAGTAGTGTAAATTATGTAAAAAAAAGTGTTTGGGTTCTCAATCTACACTTTGAAAGAGATTTGAATGGTAGATGAATGAGTATCTTGTATTTGCTCCTCAAATTCCAAACAAATTACAAAGACTTGATCTTCAAAATTGAGCAAACTTGCATCATGAGAAATTAGTTCTTTTGTATATCTTGAATTCAAAAGCAAATTCATATGAATGAATTGCGCTTCGCACACTTGAATCGATTTGAAATCAAAAAAAGAGTTATTCGAATTGTTCCTCAAATCTTCTTCTTTACAAAACCATATCATCAATTCATGGTAACTTTCCATACGAGCCCATAATACAAATTGCGCCTCTAAGAGATTTAACCAATAATCCACCTTAATCCAATGATCGCTAATGTTCAATTGCAAATGACTTGAGGCAGGGGACAAGCAATTACTTAATCATCGAACTAGAACTCTAGTTTCATGAATTATCCCAACATAAGAATCAAACGCCTTTTGAGAAAACGTCTGTGGCAAAAATTGAACCTCGATCTTTGAAGTAATCTCATAGACAATGCTATTTGTGATACTTCGCAAAAGAATCGTCTCAGGATGTTGAAAAATTTAAGAAGTCGTGGTTGTTTGAACTTGAACTTGCAAGAGTTAACTTTTGGTCGAAATGCTTTGAATCGACTTACAAACTTGATCTTTCCTTTCATTTCAAAGCCTGGTGAAACACATGTGAACCGGTGATAATGAAACATTGACTGTTCTTGAAGGATATTTGGAGAAGCTTGAGACCACTTGTTGAACAGAGCATGGAAATAAACACATGATTCCCCTGATGAATGAGTCTTCAAAAATCAACGATCAACTGTACTTCTGGCTTGAGAGATTCTGAACCCTAATCGAGGCATGATGCCTGATGCTCTTGATTCAGATCCGTTTCCTGCAAATGAAATCAAAGAAACGAAAAACACAAACTTCGGGCTTGATTAGAAGTTAGTGATACATAGGCTAAGAATGTTCAAAATACTTGACAATTTCTGCATAGTCAATGCTCGAAGGTGAGAGGTTAAAACTGACCGTATTTCGTGACCTTGACTTCTGTATAAAAAAGCAAAAAATAAAAATGGGATCTTAGGTCAAAAATTGGGGTATGACAAATAGTATAAATTTTATGATATTATTTATTTTGTAAAATTTATGAAAATAATTTAACACATTATTATTAAAGGTGTTTTAACCTATTTTCATAAATTTTATGATTTTATAGATTTAATTTTTTTTTATGATTTAAAACCTAATCTTTTTAATTAAATAAACTTATAAAAAAGTTTAACGCTTTTCAATTTAGAAAAAGTATGACATGATTTAAGTTTGTGTAAGTTAGATCATGAATTAATTAATCTGAATTGTTTCTATAGTATAATTCGAATTTAAACCCTAGTACTTATAATTGTAAAGGTAAGTTTTTAGGGATTATTACTACTTAGTCTTTAAGACTAAAACTAAAATATATACTAAAAAAAAGATAGAAGAAAAAAGTGGCAATGCTCACGTTACCATTTATAAAATAAAATAAATGAAATACTTCTTCTTTTCTTAGAGAAAAAAATACTTTATTTAAATTATTATAAAATATTTGAATATATTTTTTAAAAACTAAAATATATAATAATTCAATAAACAAAGCATATTTTGCCAAATCATTGATAAATACTAATAAATTAAGTTAGATAATATAAAAAATTGATGATTTGTTAATAGAGAGAGTATAAAAATATTTTATACCATCAATATAAGTTCATATAAATTAAATTATTTACAATTTTAGTGCTCATATTAATGATTTGATTCAAACTCAATTAAAAATATTTGATTTTGTTTATTTTCATTTTTCAAAATCGGTTTGTAATTTAATTGGTACGAATTTAGATTGGAATAGATGTAAAATTTTAAATGATAGAGTTAATTTTTTTAATTCAAAATAAAAAAATATTAATAGTAATTTAATTTTTCATAAAGTTTAGTAGATGTAATTCTTCCTATTAACTCAACCTACAAATTTTACGCTAAAAACAAGGCTATCATTCTTTTTCACGATAACAATATCTAGAATTATAGATTTGATTAAAATTTGATTTAGAATGAAACTAAATTTGATTTAAAATTAAAGCTAAATTATATTAGATTTGATTTAAATTGCTTTTGTTTAATGGATCCGTTAAACATGTAATGCCTATATATTTTGTTAGACTTTAAATCATAAAAAAAAATATTTTTAAATACTAAAAAACTAAAAGTTGGTGATATAAAAAATTTATTTATAATAATTTATTTGAAATTACTTAATAAACTTTTTTTATGATATTATTTATTTTATTAGGCTTTAAATCATAAAAAAAATATTTTTAAATTTATAAAATCATAAAATTTATGAAAATAGGTTAAAACATCTTTAAAAATAATGTGATAAACTATTTTCATAAATTTTATGATTTTATAAATTTAAAAATATTTTTTTTATGATTTAAAACCTAATCTTTTTAATTAAATAAACTTATAAAATTTTTTTAATGCTTTTCTTTAAGAAAAAACATGACATGACTTAAATTTGTGTAAATTAGATTGTAGATTAATTAATCTGAACTATTTCTACATTATCACCCGAATTTAAACTCTAATACTTATAGTTGTAAGTATATGTTTTTAGTGATTATTATTACTTAGTTTTTAGGACTAAAACTAAAATATATACTAACAAAAATAGAAGAAAAAAAGTGGCTATGCTCACGTTACCATTTATAAAATAAAATAAATGAAATACTTCTTCTTTTCTTAGAGAAAAAATACTTTATTTAAATTATTATAAAATATTTGTATATATTTTTTAAAAACAAAAATATATAATAATTTAATAGACAATGCATATTTTGCCAAATCATTGATAAACAGTAATAAATTAAGTTAGATAATATAAACAATTGATGATTTGTTAATAGAGAGAGTTATAAAAATATTTTATACCATCAATATAAGTTCATATTAATTAAATTATTTACAATTTTAGTGCTCATATTAATGATTTGATTCAGACTCAATTAAAAATATTTGATTTTGTTTATTTTCATTTTTCAAAATCGGTTTGTAATTTAATTGGTACGAATTTAGATTGGAATAGATGTAAAATTTTAAATGATAGAGTTAATTTTTTAATTTAAAATAAAAAATATTAATAGTAATTTATTTTTTCATAAAGTTTAGTAGATGCAATTCTTCCTATTAACTCAACCTACAAATTTTACGCTAAAAACAAGACTATCATTCTTTTTCACGATAACAATATCTGGACTTATAGATTTGATTAAGATTTGATTTAGAATGAAATTAAATTTGATTTAAAATTAAAGCTAGATTATATTTGATTTGATTTAAATTGCTTTTGTTTAATGGATTTGTTAAACATGTAATGCTTATATATTTATGTCTTCTAAGTAGTATTTTTTATTTCTTGAGCTTATTAACTTCACCTGAGTCTGCAATTGAATCTTAAAGTCATCATGAAGGCTCTCAATGATTGTTCAACTAAAGATTTCATGCCAACCGATGAAGAACTTCTTCAAAACTTCCTCTACAACAAAATTAACAATGAACCAATTCCCAATTATCTCAACATTCTTGAATATGATTTGTTCGGAACTGAAAAGACTTCATTGAATATATGGAACGAGTTTGAAGCTTCACACTCATATAGCGAAAAAGACCTATATTTCTTTACTACCTTAAAGAAGAATTCCACTACGAGCATGCGCTCGATTCACACTATTGGAAACGGTAATTGGGAAGGCGAAGACACTGGAAAAAATATATTTGCCAAAGACACGAACCAACTCCTCGGTCTGAAAAAACGTTTTCGTTTTGAGAAGAGTAACACTTCTCAAGATGGTGGATGGATTTTGCATGAATATAAGCTCCATAAATCTTTCATTAACAATGCTCCGGTAAGAAACTTTTATGTCACATTATTAGTTTGTGTTAACAATAATTAGTTTTAAGCCTAAATAGTGATTAATATGTATTTTTTGGCAGGTCAACAATTATGTACTATGCAGATTTAGAAAGAATTTAAAATCACAAAATACACAAGCAAGAGCAAGTATAGGTGATCAATTCAATTCTCATTTAAGAAAAATTTCAAGAAAAAAAATTGTCAAGAGAGTAAAGAAAAAACTGATTTCTAAAGAAAGAGAACCTATCATTCCTAAACAAGCAGAACCTGTCATATCAGTAAGTTACCACTATATATTTAATAATATTTATACTTATTCAAGGTTTTGATTATTTTCAAAATCTTCATCATATTTTTTTTTATCCTTTATTAGAGGAGTCTTCACAAATTTTACGATGGATTTATGCTTTTTTTTGGATTGTTGTTATAGGGCAATAATGTTTCGGTGAAAAAATATGGTATTTATGAAGAAGCAATAGTTGGATCAAATGA